TGTTTTAAGTTCCGTGTTATTCCAAATGATCTTCACTTGTTTACTCGTTGCAATAAAATGACCAAACAACAGTGCAGTGGTAACCGTGTCTTTATTTCATTGCTCACATGCCACTGTTGAGACCTATGAGGAAACAAACAAGTCGATTCAGTGACAAAGTCCTGAAGACAGACAGGAAACAGATCAAACCAAATTCTACCCTCAAGGTTTCATGTTTCCGTGCATCATTTATAATTCATCAAAGCTCTTAACGCTGTAACCTCAATATATTGAATGCAAGGAATCTCTAGCAAATGCGACAAATATACAAGAACCTTGTTACCTTCTCCATGAGCTGCTGTTCCTCTGGAATGTTTGTGCCATGTTAAACTTACTGTCGATGCAGCCAGATGTGCAGTCACCGTCTGCAGCGGAGCAAACTTCTGTCGAGCAGAAGACGTAGATCTGAGGAAGACAAAAGAAAAAAAACATAGGAAAAACTTTTAGATTGTTTTACTAGAACATGAAGTTGTAATCCTTGTCAGCACTTTGCCATCATGGGGCGTAACTGAACGCCCACCTTTAGAACGGCTTTGGTTTCTTTTAAGTAAATTTCCTCATTTCATTTTCTCCCGCAACGTTTCAGAAAATCCTCATAAAACTATTTTAAGTCTGGATCCAGCTGCGAGATGAATCATGACCATGAAAACATTTGATTTAGAGCAAATACGATATTGGAAAAGTACAAGACTACATATTTTAAGAGTGAAGGAACTCAACATCCCATAATGCGGTGGTGTCTTTGTTGTGGTTTTAAAGGTTTATTTATCCTCAGGGGGTCTAAACTTAAAAGCAGCACACTATCAAGAACACAGTGGTTGTTCTCTCGTGCGAGTTTGTCTGTTAACGCACCTCTGGATCGTCCAGGAGAGAGTGTTCTCCTGCAGCCACGTCTGAGGGGCTTTGTGAGGGCAGGAAGAGGAAGCTGGAGATTATGATCCTCCGGGTTCGGTGCGGGTCGGAGGAAGGAAGCAGCTGTGAATCATAGCGGCCGGGGCAGCTAAACAACACACAGTAGTAGTGAGGGGACCGTCACATCTGAACATGCAGGAGGGAGCATCATTTGCATCATGGGATTTAGGACTGAAAAGGTTTTTACAAATGTTAAGCTTGTCCTGTTGGTGTCCTCAGAGAAAAGACCATGAGATATTAAATGCAGATTTAATTTAAAGTCAATGAAAACAAGCAGCTGCACGAGAGAAAGAGCCACATAATCTGTGTAACATTTCAGAATAATGATCTTGATATAAAACAATACTTCCACAGAATCACTTAACCACAGAATCAATCTGCCAAGACACTATCTCCATTATCTCTGTATAAAACATACCCATCATAAATGGGCATCCAGCCGGTGTATGGATCTGCAGTGTGAGCCAAGCAGGAGTGAACCAGCAGCACCAGGTTTCCCTCTGGAGGCTCCAGCAGACTCACCTCCAGATAAAGAGGTCTGCCTCGCACCAGACTGAGAGGCAGGTGAGCCTCGGGGTGGAAGCTGCTGAACGACTCGTCTGAAAAGAGGAAAAGAATGATGGTCTGACGTCAACACTAAGAAACAGGCTAACGGAGGATCGGATGCATCAGTGACTGTGAACTCTCGAGGTACAATGTGCGATTAAATGACGTTTGGAAAAAGAAGCTCGGTAGAACTTAGGAGGGATGTTACCGCCGGGTTCAGCTCACCTGTCGAGAGTCTCAGCTGCACTGAGACTGTGGCTGGTGATGGCTGAATGGGAGGTGGAGGTGAAGGCGGAGGAGGTTGATCCATCACATGCAGCCTCACCTCACCTGGAGAACCTGGGGAAGAGCTGCACTCCACCATCAACCTGCGGGAACAACACCGTAAACGACGGTATATGAAGAGATCAACACGAACAGTTGACCTTCAGAAGAATGTGGAGTGTAGGACAGAAACAACAAACCTGACAGGAGAGTCCTCATTCTCCGAGGTGCGGTCGCCTTGAGGAGAATAGATTCCTCGGACTTCCAACAGATGAACCACAGTCCGACCAAACATCTAATGAGGAGATGATGTTAAGAGAACAGTTTTCACCATAGAGGTCGGCTCTCGGTGCAGATGTGAACACACTGAGGATCCGAAGTGCAGCTTACAAGTTTGTTTACTCCGCAGCCGTCCAGGGGCACCATGTAGACCTCGGGGTCAGAGGTCAACTTCCGCAGGATGCAGGAGGCCTCACTGTCCTCTGGGGGATGAGCAGCAGGGGGCACTGTGGGCTCCAACACAGAGTGAGGCACCACAAAGACAAAATTCTGCCCCATTGTACAATCTGTAGGCTCACACATGAAAAACACACAAAAACACAAACATGTGCACAAAAGACCAGAGTTTAAAATCAATCCAAAGTATTTACTTCCTTAGACCCTGTGGCCCGGGCGTAGGCTCCTCGTCTGAATGCCCACACACACCACAACAGTCATTTACTTTTCTTAAATGTGAATTAATTTATGTCAGACGAGTGTTGACACGATTCCCTTTTGGAGAGACTCACCCTCCACAGGGTACGAGCAGCAGCCCAGAGAGTGACTGCAGCTGGAGTAAGACGCAGGGCCGAGGCCACAGGGCGAGGCGGAGGGCGTGGTGGCTGCGGGGTGATCTGAGTAAACAAAAGAGACGACGGCTGGTTATACTTGGTTCTGTTCAGCATTGTGAGGAGATGATGGATTCATCCGACGATGAGTCAGAACATCTGTCGTACAGGTGTCTGGTTACAGCGAGAGCCGGGACGCGAACTCTCTGCCCCCCTGTGGTGACCTGAGGTCCAGACACCAACACTGCACATATCAGCTAATCCAGATCGACAGAAAGAAAAAAAAAAAACACAGCCGAGCAGGACTTTACCCGTCGTGTCATAATCCAGCCTCTCCTCTGCTTCCTCTCCACCAGGAGGCCCCGACGCATAGTACAGACGTTGCTGGGAAGACAAGCTATGGAGGGGACTGTGCGGTGGCTGAGGGATGCTGGGAAATCCTGCTTCGGTGTTCAAATCCGTGCTGATGTGGTCGGAGTCAGAGGGAAGCTGAGATTCTGACTCTGAGGAGGGTTTTTCAGAGTCCGTGCTGCCTGCGGGAAGCTGTTCCTGCTGGTGTTTGGACTCTTCAGGCTGGAAGAGGTGCTGGTAATAGTGGTAGTAAGGATATAAGTGAGCGTGATAATGTGATTCTGTGGGTGAGGAAGCGGTTTGATGCGGCGCTGGAGAGGAGGATGCTTGAATCCGAGCGTTTAAAGCGTCTTTAAATGAAAGCGGAGACGCACCGTCGTTACTGCTCTGGGAACTTTCAGGTCCATAATACATCTGATAGTAGTGATAGTAAGGGGCGTAGGGGTACGAGTGAGGAGGGGGAACCACAGCCGGGTCTGGTTCTGGAGGGTTGCTGGGTGGGAGAGCGGGAGTCGCAGGTGCAGAGTGTCGCCCTTCATCATCCGGCTCTTGTTTCATATCATCTTCAGACAGACGTGGATTTCTGATCCAGTCTGGTCTGTGTTTTTCAGTTTCACCTGCGTTCGGCTGATGAGCGTCGGGACTCACGCTGAATTCTTCATGGACCGGACGCACCGATGACTCAGAGAGAGGCTGAACATCTGGCGCTTTGGTTTTCGTATCCATGCCGTGATGTAGAGGCGTCAACCTTTTCGCCTCACCCCTCGCCATATGGGGAAAGTAATAAAAGTAGTGGTGTGGGAAGGGATAAGATGCACGGGCTTCGTGATCAACTTCAGGATCTGTTGGAGGGATGCGAGGATGAGGGGCAACCTGAGGCGGAGGGGAGGGGTCTGAATCAACCTCGGACTGCTGCACGTTGGGGGGCAACACCAGGAAGTTGTGGGTATTTGTCGGAGATTGTTTTTCAGGGACCTCAGGAGCTGCGTCGGGGTCTTGAGGTGGGTTTGGAAGAGGGATTTTTGGGTGATGGTAGTAGTGGTAGTATGGGTTGAAGGCGTGGTTGGGAGGCGGGAGAGAGGGAGCTTCGACTTGAGCCGGAGAGGCTGCAGCTGAGGGGCGAGAGTGTGACTCAGAGAGATCCAAGACAGGAGGTCCCTGTTTTTGTTGGAGATCTGGACTTAAATCCTCCGTTTCATGTGCAGATGATAGAGGACTGCGCACGGCGTGCTGTTTATTGGAACCCCCGTCGGGAATCTGGTGGGAGTAGTATTCCGGATACTGGGAATCAACAGGAGGGGGGGGCTGCGGACCAGACCGCGGGTCAGGGGTGGAAAAAGAGGGAGTGAGAGGGTCGTAGACGTCGCGAGCATCAGGTCCATGATACTCCTGATGATATGTGGGGTGGGGATAGTAAAGCGGAGCCAGGTAAAAAGGGGCGGCCCATGGAAAAGGCTCTGATGGAGGTTCTGTTGGGATTCTGCTGAGATGATGAGGGCCGTCGACGAGACGGGTTCCTGGCAGCTCCTCAGGGGACGAGACAGGACAAGACAGCAGGAGTGTGTTTTCTCCTATTTGAAGATAAAGTGTGTATTTTCCATCCTGAAAGTAAAAAAAAAAAAAATCAGTTCATCTCTGATTCCGAGTGACGATATGTCCAAAGGGATTTCGCTGAATTTGGATTCTCTCCGGACGTAAATGTAAAATAGGGTTTGTCACCTGCTGGATGACAAACCCTTCACCTCACCTTCACCGTCATGCCACATGTAAGATATGGAGCAGCGATTACGATCTGTGCGTCCCATCTGTCCACGGTGAGTCCGCACTGCTCAGCCAACGACACCAGTGGGGTCCACTCGCCTCTGACTGAAGTAAAAAGGGGAAAAGGCTTCAGCTGGAGAGTGAGGTTCAAATGTCACCACTGGAGTTTTTTTTTCTGTGTTTTTACCATTTATCCTCAGCTGCTCTGCAGGAGTCGGTCCTTGCAGGTTGACAGTCATCCCGTACGGGGAGCAGCACACGGAGTACTGACCCGCGGCCTGAGGCTGAACCTGAGGGACCGGACACGACATCTTGACCGGAGCCCCCCTCCACAGCAGAGGCAGCACGTAGCTGTCGTCCTGAACACACACGGTTTGAATAACGTTACCTCCTCCTAACATTTCACCTCCATTAGAGAAGACAAGCCCGAGATTAAGAAGCTCCTCGTTGAATTCGTTTTTCTGGATCCACTTGATCTTCATCACCTTCTTAGCTCAGTAGAAGTTTCCTCTGAACTATACGTGTTCACGCTCTTTCATTGGGGTCACGTTTACAGCCTCACAGATCAGAACTCTGTTGGTTTAACTGAGCTGAATAAAAGTGGACGTTGTTACCGGTGCACGTGGTTTATGATCTCATACCTCCTGTGTGACGTGGCAGGCGTCGTACTGAGCCATCAGACTGAGGTCTCTCCACGTGGTCTGGACAGAGTAACCACACTGAGGCGGCAGCTGGGACAGAGGCACCGATGACTCGTTCACTGAGACACAAACACAAAGTTTAACACAACTCTTGTCAGGGAATAATCAACGTGAAGAATCCTGGAGCAGCAGCAGCAGCAGCCTCACCTCGATCCAGCAGCAGATTTCCAGCCCGTCTCCTCCTGACGACGAGGATCATGGCGTCGTCTCCACACTCCACCACCGGCTTGAGCTTCTGCCAGCTCTCCTCTGAGCCGCTGAGCCACTGACCTCTGACCTTCGCCCGGTCTCCCTCAGCTTGGACTGGTGAACAACAAACACGATGAGTTAGAGTCAAGCGGTGATTGAAACGAACTGCAGAGGACGTCAGAGACTCGTCATTGTAACCGTCTCTTCTTCACATAAATCTGATTTCATAGAAAAATGTCATTGCTTTTAATATGTGCTTTTTTATTTTCCATCATTCGTTCCTGATATTGATTTCTGTATATTTATTCCGTCTTTATTTCTCAACGTGTTTCCTGGTTGTATTAATGTGTGAAACGTTTTTTTATTTCATTTGCTGTATTTTCATTTGCAGGACTATCTCAGGAGAGATATTACATCTCGATGTGACCTTCCTGGGTGAAGGATAAATAACTAAAATAAAATAAGATTCAGCAAATCATATGAATGAAAAAGCCTTAAGTGACTTCACTTTCACATGTAATACAACATATCAATATATAATAGAATAACAATATATAATTCATAAAAACCACAACGACATACACAATCAAACTAATCGAAAAAACTAAGTTGACTGAGCTTTGAGAAAAAAGTTATTTTGAAAAAGACATTTGAAGCTAAAACTTATTTGACTCTAAACCTTTGTTCGGTCCTGATCTTCTTGTTTCCTGAACCAAAACCTAAAGAACACAAACTTTTACCTGGAGCAGCAGAATCCGCCTGATAGCCCACGATGGGGAAGTTTGCTTCCAGTTGACCAACAATGTAAAACTTCCCTGGAGCTGTGTGTTTCATGTGTCCCGGGGAACACTCATCATCATCATCTTCATCATCATCAGGGGGCTGAGGTGAAGAATAGACCCGCTGCCCCTCGCTTTGATTCGGCGTGTGCCTGAGCCGTTTGTCCGCTGAGGTCATCCTGGCTCCGGGTCTCCGTGCAGACGCTGCAGCCTGTGTCCGGTCCGAGCTGTGGAGGAGGTGGAGGAGCGGCAGGTGGAGCTGCTGCGGGCCTCCGGTGGGTGAAGAGCGGCTCCTGGCACCAGGAGGTGCCGCAGGAGGACGTGTCAGTGTTGAAGGAGCAGATTCGCACCAGCTCGCTGAAGGAAAAGTTATTATCGTGACGCTGAGGAGGAAACTGAAGCAACTTCCTGTTTGTTTCAAATACATTTCAAATGTTTGTCTCTGCGCGTGCGGACACCAGCCCCGAGTCAACGTGCACTCTTTGTACACTTCCGGCTCACGCACCTGTGCACGGACACAC